AGGTCCCTATTCCCTACTCTTTAACCGGATTCATCCACTTCTACCCTCCATGGTTTTATTGTATACTTCCCTTGCTTTATTTCCAACTTTTGGAATAAAAGCACGGTATTAAACAAACCAGTGTGCCCATACTTTTTACTGTAATAGCTACATACTGTATAATAGTAGCCGTATAGCACCATGAGGGTGCAGGGCGCCAACATCAAGGACCTCAAGTAAGTTTTTTATTTTAATAATGCCATTACTTCCCTTATATTGATAAGTCATATTTCCATCAGTAGAACACATCTATAATAATCAAAAACAAACTACCACATATTGAAATTACTTTCGTTTTGCCTGTGGCTTCTTCGGGATAATACAGTGAAATTGCAAAAAAAAACACTCACAGGTGTGCTAAATAGGCACTGTGTAGGTCACATGACCAGGAATCTCATCTCCATTTTTTCTATTAGTATTTTTTCCTTTTTATAAAAACCAACATGTTACACAAAATGCGACTAGAACTATTTTAAACTACTGTTTAAAAGTTTACGATCGCAGTAGACCTACCAAAAACAGTAGTTTAAGCCATAGTAGTTGATTGGTATTATTTTTATTGTTGTTTTGGTCAAGGTGATCTATTTACTTGTATATAAAATTGGAAACAGTGTCAGATTGTTCCTCATCCTAATCAGGTCATCCTCTGGGTATCATTAGAGGAAGGACAACAGCTTGGGAGGTTTTTTTCCGTTGTATTTGCATAAGAGAGGAGGAGTGAAATAGCATAGTCACCACTGTGAGTTGTGGAAAACGAATTTAAGTAAAATTTTTGATAAGTCTGTTGAAAGTGAACAGCGTAGAATTATTTTGTTAACTTTTGATCAATAAATCTTGAAGAACTGAAAGATATCCGGAAGTGCTTTTTCCTTTAGTGGTGAGTCGCAAACCTCCAAAAGAAAAACGACAGTAAGAAATAGAAAACGAGCAAAGCCCTGGATATACTTGCTTTTTAACAATGTGTAGGCGTAGACTGGCATCGGCAACGCAAATGGTTTTTTTTCCACATACTTGCCTGCGTACCTGGAGGATTAAACCTGAATCCACTAGCGTTCCGACCAGGACCGGATCATCCCTAACCGACACCAGATTATCTTCCTTGACAACCTCCGAATTCGCACATTTTAAACAAACCAAACATAGCGACACTCGAGCAGGTTGTGATTTTAATGACATAACGATCTTGGTAACTGCGGACTAGCTCCAGGAGTTTTCTTGTACACATCCCGCCATGAATCTCCTTTTTTAAAGTCTGCTGCTGACCCCCTCTTCTTGTTTAATGGCAGTTGTAAAAAATCAACTGCGAAAACTGTGAAAAACACCTCAGATAAAGCTGTCTAATCATCATCCTGTGTTTCATTAATTCCATGAGACTCAATCATGTTCAATTCACAAATCCAAAAAGCTTTGCTTCTTAAAAGTTTGTTAATCAGGTCACCCCCTCTATAGCCCCTTTTCCACTGCATGGTACCAGCTCGACTCGCCTCTACTCATCTTTTTTTGGTTTTCCATTGTGGAAAAGTTGTACCTGTACCTGCTTCCAGGTGCTTTTTTTCGTATCACCTCCGTCGAGGTTCCAAGCGAGCTGAGGCAACACCAAAATGTGACTTGAAAACACGACAGACTGCTGACTGCTCAGAGAGAATCGTCACTATTCACTGCATCATCATTGCGTGTGCCAGACAGAGGCCAGCAACAGAAAGTTTTATATTTTACAATTTTCATGCCTTATTTCATCCCTAAATCTACTTCGGAGAAGTTTTGAGGTGAGAAATCAGCTGTGTAGATTTCGAATATTAACAGTTTTACGAGAAGTGATGGTGGAACAAAAATGTGCTTGAAAGTTGTTGGAGTTGAGGAGCTCCGCAAGTGGCGGCGGGGGAAACCTGCAGCAACCCGCGGGTAGAGCTTGCGAGGCCGGCAAGCCGCCCACTCACAGAGCCCTCTGCTCCCACCGTCACACACACCGCTGCAGCAACAACAGCAGAGAAAAACACAGCTCAATACTAATACATTTAAGAGAAGTAGCTGACCCATGGTTTTCCTCTTTATAATGTCGAGCAATGGCGTAATCCATGTTCCCATTTCTAACGGCAGCCGTATGCTCAGCCACTCTCAATTTGATATTCAGTTTAGTTTGATCCACATACGCCACATGGACATAACATAGAAGACATGGGTAGACAGAAAATGAATGAATTCTTTTATATTTCTTTCCTGAATGCGGATGATTAAATGTTTTTGTGTCAAATGTGTTTGAACAATGTGCACATTTGCCACATCTGTAGTTCCCATAAAGCTGTAGCAAAAGCCAGTTAGTTTGTGTGGGAACATTCCTAATAATATTGGCTTTCACGCTAGAACGTGTTTTATGTTATAGGAACACCGTTACTAGGCAACTAACAACAAAATGGACACCACCGTGTTTATTTTTTTCATATTTTTTTTGTGTTTGGGAATGGGGAAAGTACCAACAGCAAAAATAACCAGCTAACACATTAAGACAGTAGAAAACAAAAGTAAATTAAATTAGCTACTGCATTTTTAAAACATCTTCATACTGTATATGCATTCTTCATCTCGTTACCCGTTAATACAATTGTTTTTACCGGTATTTTGGGAATTGTTGCCACCGGAGCACCGGGAGAAATGCCGGTGTTCCGGTGCCGGTGTTCCGGTTGCTCTGTGACAGACACAGAGAGACGTAGTCGACAGCTGAAGCGGTAAGACAGAAGAAAACAGGGAGAAGATAAAGAAGGTTTGGGTTTAGCGAACTAGATATTTAACGTTAGCTGTAGCTGTCGTTCAACATGTTCAACTTTTCATAAAGCCGATGTGCAGTCAGTCACTTCTCGTCAACCAATCATAGCTTGGATGGGGTGGGACATTAAACAATATAGTTACTGACAAGTTTGTGGGTAGTATTATTAACAATTTTGAGACCAATGTTGAGCCTCTCTTTTAAATTAATTAATTAATTAATTAATTAACGATTAAATAAATAAAAACAATCCACAGAAATAAAACAGCTGTAACTGGATTTAAGATTCAACTAGTGGTAAAATAGTATACTACATTAAACTAACAGTATACTATAAACAGAACATTATACTCTTTATTTAATGTTATAATAATACACTCATGTATACTAGTTCCTCCTCCAGACACAAACACTGCCTACTGTAGCGGGTAGGGGTGGGGAAGAAAAATCGATACAGCATAGTATCGTGATATTTGCCATGGCAATACTGTATCGATACATGGACGCCAAGTATCAATATTTTATTATTTAAATTGCAGATGGGAGATTTAACTTTTTGGTACTAGAATAACAAAATCTATTGCTTTTTTAGTCCACTAGAAAACTTGACAGGACCATATAGAGGACTGAAAAAGTGATATGAACAAACAGAGAAATGTATCTTTTTAGATAAACAGATGTTGACAAAGTTTGACTTTAGGGACCTAACTGGAAGTTGGAAAAAGGTAATAAATTGCAATATATCTCAATATATTTAAAATCGCAATAAAATCGAATCGCAACATTAATATCATGATAATATCGTATCGTGGGGCCTCTAATGATTCCCAACCCTAGTCGCGGGGCAGTTAGATAGTGTCTCTTTAGTTAACAGATGTAGATTGAGCCAGAGCCAGGATGCTGGTGTGCCAATAATTGCTCCTTCTAACAGCCTCCTACGTAGACCAACACACTCCCCTTGTTGTTTTACATCTGTTTTACTAGTTGTTGTTATAAATATTGTTTAACTTTGTTCAAGTTGAGACATACAAATTTCAAAATGTTAGTTTTTGTGCATGTACCTTGATAATCAAGCAAGTAGACTCATTGCACCATTTGTTCCATTATATGTGAATCGCAATATGACTTTTTTGTCGTCGTGCAGCCCTAACATACAGCCTCAAGGGAAAAAGTGTGGTGCTACAGAAAACCTGGGCTTTTTGTCTTTCATGGAGTGAAGCTCAACAGTAGGGTAGCAGAGAATACTTCCTGTGTGTATATGTTAATTATCAACAGGACATGGCTCCTCCACCAGCCCACACCTTAAAGACACAAAGCACTTTCTGCTGGAGCGGAGCAGTTAGCACAGTAGTCTGCATCAACCACTAGCATTAGCAGTCACATATGAGGGGGCATTCCTGAACTGTTTTCTTTTTTAAGTATACAGTCCATTTAGATTACTCATGATGAAGTCCTTGACACACAGTGCAGTCATATTTAGAGCATGTTCCACTGAGCCCCAGCACCTATGTAAACTATGTAATTCTCAACAGCTGGCCTTCCTTACAACAGCCATGATCTGATCAGGAGCACCAACTCATAGCTCTGCTTTCAATTTTGCCAACCTTACATAATCATCTGCCTTACTTTGAATGGATAACACCACATGACAACAACACTGCTGTTCTGTGTAGCAATGTTTAAGTGCCTGAGAACGCAACAGCCATTATCTTAGCTAGACCATTTCAAACTGGAGTCACAACATCTGGGAATTTTGTGGTAATTGTTTCAGCTTCCAGTGTGGTCCACTGCTATACATAATCAAGTTTAATATGGAAAGAGCAAGGGTTGACGTCCCCATTTAGGTTAATATTTCACTAGGGAAATCAGTAGCTAAATGCATTGTAAATCCACAAGCTATGGCTCCAAGGTTATAGGACTGTGCAACAGTTTTTTAAAGTGTTTTCAGCCTTTACACTTAAGTCTGTGTACTAAAATATCTTGCAAACAAACTGCAGACTCTTGCACGGTGCCTGGTAACTTGCATGGAATCAGTGGAATGGACTACTATAACATCACGAGGATCAAATGAGAGTAATATTGAGTAACGTAACGCTATATATGGTGGCTGAAAACAAATAACGATGACTTGTAAACTTGTAACGTAAAGTGGTTTAGTATCTCATTTAGAGACAGTTTAAGTACTTTTGACTTTACTTACCCATTCCAGGACTCGAATAAATCCAAGAGGTTCTTTCAGTGGTCCCAGGTCCAGAGAAAATCCGGACACTAATTTCTGGAGATAAAGGTGTGTAAAATGACGAACACGGGTACACAAACATGTAGTTAACCAGGTGTAAACGAATAAACCTAAACACTAGCACCCACACAACCTATTAGTCACTCTACGGCTACTGGCCCTGCCCTTGTTAGCCAACCCCTGCTAACGACATGCTAATGCTAACCCATGTCAACCTGATGTCAACCTGGGTAACTTAACGACAACGTTATTCAGCTTATTCACCTAACTTACCTGAACAGTGTCCATGGAGGCGTGCAACAACTACAAAGCAGCTTGTTTTTCACTACTAAAGATGTCGGGTTAGGTGTAAGTTAAAGCTAACTTAAAGTTAGTCCGTATGAGTTCGGTTCAAACGGTGGCGATACAACCGCTACTAACTGTCAGCAGGCGGCGGAGTAGCAGCCAGTAAAGCAACTGATAAGCCTGCTGTCCTGTGATTACAAACCCTTTGTCAATCTGACCAAAATAAAATATACACCACTTCCGGTTGTTACTTAAATAATAAACACGAGGCGAACATTCATTTCATCACACTATAAGTATTATTCAACTACATACACATAAATTACAAATTACAAAATACATTTATTTTCGGGGAATTGTGATTTATAAAATGTTGGAAGCACTGCCTTTGTAATATTCGGATTTTTTACGGTGAAATCTGTTTATGGCAACCAGAAAGATAATTTGACCTAATATCCACTATTCCACACTACTTCTTATTTATATTCAAATATTTAAACATTTTCGCATCCTATTTTTCAGTGGACAACAAATTGGCCCAACCAAACTTGACTCCATCATTTTTTATTTTAAATTTTACAATTATTTTCTAGACATCAACAAGGCTTCTACATACAAGTAAACTACAACATGGGCCATGATAATCTTCTCTAAATCGATTCCAGTGTATTATATGTGCTGCCGGTGCAAGCACTCCACGTCACATCACATCAGCCATATGAAAACGAGCTTACACTGCTCCCTTGTGGGAATATTAGTTATTGCACAGTAAATGGTTTTAGCAACGGTTTAGCTCATAATAGGTCATAATTAGTTTACTTAAATGAAGCAGCAAACTCTGACAATACAACAAAACCGGTAATGAAAGATGCATTATAAACAGTCTACCCATTGATTATTGAAAGAGGATCTTATTGTTATGTTGAGTCATGACTTACTACAATTTCATTGTTACCAAGGGTTACACTGCGATTGGATTGCTAGCTGCCCTCACATTTCTTTCATCTACCAGTGACTGCCAATAAAGCTAATTTGAATTGAATTGCATTGAATTGACTGCCGCATCTCAGTGGCATCTTGTTAGGTTAACAATCTTGAGCTAATAAAAAACGTAACGTTAACGTTTCTGTTCTCACCCTGCGCAACTGGGTTACTACCTAACAGAGTGAACAAAGAGACTGCATTTAAAAGAAATCATCACGGCTCAACTAATCGAGCTACCGTTACTTTGCCGAAAACAGTAGAACCGCAACAACTTACTGTAGTTAAGGGAGGACTACGTGACAGACGTCATTGCGAGGCTAAGCCAATCAGAGGCAGTGTAGGGCGGGTCATGCCTTCGCCTCAGAAGGATTCGTGGCCCACCCTATGGACCCACCTCGTATTTGTGGCCGCCATTTTGCTTTAGTCTACTTAGTGTGGCTGCGGCAGACGTCGAACCGGGACGGGGTACCTCCACTACACAAAGTTTTTAATCTTTTTAAGTCTGAAACTGGTAATTAACATTGTATACTTTGTTTACATAATATATTTGGCTGTTACATCGTAGTGTTAAAATATGAAAGTGATTACCATGAGTACCACGTAATAAAAAATAAACAGCGGTCTTAACATTTAGCTAACGCTAATAATAAGGTCGAGAGGAATTTGGGATTTAGGTAGGCCTCTGTCATGTAGCATACGATAAACTAACCCATAACTACACGAATACAATTAGTCAAGCGTTGAGAATATAACATTAACGTTACAGCTAACATAAGGCTGCCGTATGTTAAACGTTAGTCCGTACTAAGCCAGTGTAACTGAAAGTCTCTATTGTTTAAGTAACCTAACATTATTCCGATGCTTGCCGATCTCAGGAACGTTACAGTAACGTTAGGGGTTTTCCATCACTGCTGGGAATCGCTCGTAGTTCCTTCCAGCTAGCATTAGGCTGTTTTCTATTATTCAACAATAGCCAACGTCATGTTATTGTTTTCTTGACTGTGTTAGTTTGAAGTATTAAGCTTTGGCCATGGATATCTCGAACCAACAATGAAGGTGACCTGTAACGCATGTTATATTTGCCAAGAAGCGTGCTTTCTGTCTGATATTTTGCCCGTTGACGAATAATGTCGTTGTGGCCTCAGGATAAGCATTTGTTTTACTTGTAATGAGAGCACTTACTTTGAAATAACGGGATAAAAATAGTGATGAACAAATTAACTATTTTGTGACTTCAGAGTGCATTTTTTCCTGTTCCTTAAGATGGAAGCCGGAGTTGTTATTCAGGCTCATCACCGGTGTGGTACTAAGGCCTCCATGTCCAGAGTAACGTTTATACTCCCGAAAATTGCTAATGTACTAGTTTGTTATTCTAGTTTAGATACTTGAATTATATCAACATGTAGTGCAGTTTGTCCACTCACATTTCCAAATTCCAGTTTGCTCTTGAGTCATTATTGTGAGCGTATTTGTCTCATGATGCTGTACCTCTGTGTGGAAATGTCAAACTGTCTCCTTTGTATTTGTGCACAAATGTCTGTCTCTTAATAACACCTTTTCAGTTCCCGGGGCAGTGTTTTTGATTGATTTGTAGGTTTAAAACCATCCTCTTGGCCCTTTTGTGGGAGTCGCTGGATATGGATAGCTTTTGCCCCCCCCTGAGAATACATTGGCAGAAGATTTTTTTCTCTCTTCAGCATTGGTAATCAACAGCTGAAAATCTGTAGAAGCTTGAATATCCTGCCCATTTTTTCCCTACTGCCATCACCCAAATGTCACCATGTGTGCAAAATGCCTCCAAGCCCAAGAAGAAGCTGAGGATTTTTTTTCCACACCCATCATCACACGTTTGTCCCCTTTTTCCCCTCATCAATTTAAGCGTTTTTGGATCAATTTTTTTTCTGGCCGTTTATGTACCCCTATTTCATTGGTTTCACCAATTAATAAAAAAAAAAAAAAAAAAATCCCCAAAGGACTCTATTGCATCCAGCATCAGTAATGTTTAGCTGTCTGGCGGAGATAAAGATGTCTCAGAGAGTCTCAGAAAAGGGATGTCGTAGGAAGACAAGTGTCTCTGGGCGACCCATCCCCCCTTTCCTCTTATCTCACGGATCAAGTGTTCCTTCAGGACTCCAACCCACCACGGAGACAACCTACCAGCAGTGCACTCAAGAGGGGGACAACTTGTCAGCCACCTCAGGTACAGGTGGCACAATGCTAAAAACAATATCAATATTGACTTTTTAGTAAAAATGATATTGTACTTAGTTCCAGTTAGATTTCCAAGTTGAAACAAGTCATTTTATTTTGTATGAATAAAACGGGTACGCTTCTTGGTGTTGGCTTTACATGTGCAGATGTTTTAGTCAACTCATAGTTTGATGTCATAGAGAAGGTTTTTTGTTTCTGATGTGTTACTCTGCTCTCTGTGGTCAGGGAGAGTCCTGTTGGCCCTGAAGACAACCAGCTGCTGGGTTTAAAGGTCGTAACCTCATCACCTCCGTCACTCAAGACGCATACCAGCATTACTATGACCAACCATGGAGATGACTGCTACTTCTTTTACTACTCCACCTGCACTAAGGTCAGCAATGTTTTGTGCATAAAGCTCACATATCCAATCCACTTTATTTAAAAAAAACAGCAAGGTTACCAAAGTGCTTTACAGTATAATACAAAACACAGCATAAAAGTATACAAACATGACTTCAACAAAACTATCAACAACAAGGACCACAACCACTCTTTATGGTACACTAAAATCCCAGGAGTACAAATGTGTTTTTAGGTGAGATTTAAAAGTAAGAAGGGTGGGTGCCAGTTTAATACGCGTAGGTAAATCATTCCACAGTTTGGGGGCAATAGCTGAAAAGGAACGATGCCCCCTAGTTTTCCTCCTAGTTATTGGCACATTTAGCCGCATATGATCCGCAGACCTCAGTAACCTTGACGAGGTGTAAATGTGCAAAAGCTCAGTAATGTACTGAGGTGCTAGTCCATTTAATGATTTAAAAACAAGCATCAAAAATTTAAAATGTATAGGAAGTGAAGCGATGCCAAAATGGGAGTAATGTGTTCATGTTCCCGAGTTCCTGTTAATAAACGAGCGGCAGCATTTTGGACTAGCTGTAGGCGTGAAAGAGAAGTTTGGTTCACGCCTATATAAAGTGTATTTCAATAGTCCATATATACACACGTAGTGTACCAAGTTGGAAAGTGACTGATGACCGAAGGAAGAGTCGGGTCTTATTGTGTTTCATTTATCGTGCAGGGAGACAGCTGCCCATTCAGACACTGTGAGGCCGCTATGGGCAACGAGACCGTCTGCAACCTCTGGCAGGAGGGACGCTGCTTCCGTACCGTCTGCAAGTTTCGCCACATGGAGATCACAGTAAGAATTAGTTTTAAACTGAAGAACGTGCCGAAATGTCTCCTTCAGCTTTGCCCACTCGAGGCTGTATGTGTCTTGATTGGCCATCACCGAAGGGTAGAAAAAGGCTCCCTGTAAACCTTGGCCAGGAGTTCCATTCCTGCCTCTGGACTTATTGGGAGGAACAAGCTTTCCAGTTTCTACGTTACATTAAAACACTTGTATAAATAATAACTTACATGAACAATTAATAATAATATACAAATAATAATAATAATAGAAATCTCTGTAGATTGTTAGCTTCCTCTGTGATTTACAGTATGATCACGTCCAGCTACATTTTTTTTATTTAATTGTTACATGGGCTCTCCTCCATAATATCAGAGGTAATGGGCTCCACCATTGCAGTGCAAAAATCATGACTGTACCACGTGTCATGACATTTTGCTTGGAGAAACAATAACATGATCAGTGTACAGAGGTGAAAATGTCAGAATGTTTTGTGGACATAGAGAGATGTGATCAGCCCATATCCTCCGTGGATGCTGTTTCATGTTTTATGTCTTCAATCAAAACAGAAAAACCGAAAGGAGATTCCTTGTTATTGGGAGAACCAGCCAGCCGGTTGCCAGAAGTCTCACTGTGCCTTCTTCCATGAAAGGCCCCGCTACATTGATGGCATGTTTGTCCCACCTGATAAAAGTGAGTGGACGTTTAAGCAAAGACGCTAAGAACTGAAATGTAGAGAGTTTAAGACTATTTTACATCCGATGAAAGGATAACGATAATGACAATCAGTGTAATTCTCCCAGGTCTAAG